GAACGTATCTATTTATATAGAGAAGACTATAGATGGATGCAGATTCGATAGAAAAGCTATAGACTTTATTTATAGAGAGCCAAAGTGGAGACACAGGTTCGATTCCCAGTTGGGTCACCGGGTAACCCAGGTATCTATTTAGATAGATCAGGGGTAGGCAACCTTTCTCCTTTAAGGGCCGAGGGACTTCAGCTCCCAGAATCCCAGGAGCTATTGGCCAACATGGCTGAGGCTTCTGGGAGTTGAAGTCCCTCTGCCTACTACCCCTGATTTAGATAGATAGATGGATGGATGGAGATCCTATAGAAAGGCCTATAGACTTTATAGAGAGCCAGGGTGGTATACTATGGAGACACGAGTTCGATTCCTGGCTGGGGCCACTGGGTGACCAGATATCTATTTAGATAGATGGATGCAGACTATATAAATGCAATATAGACTATGGGCCTTTGCAGACTGCTAGAAATAGTGCAAATTGAATCCACTTTAAGGGTTAGGGTTAGGGTTAGGGAATCATGGGAACTGTATTTTATTGTGGCACCAGAGCTCTCTGACAGAGAAGGCTCAATGTCTCAGAAAAAAATACAGTTCCCATGATTCCCTAGCACTAACCCTAACCCTTAAAGTGGACTCAATTTGCACTATTTCTGGCAGTCTGCTCAGTCTCTATAGAGGTCTGGAGACACAGGTTCGATTCCTGACTGGGCAGACTATATAAAAAGGCTATATTCTTTATAGAGAGCCAGACCCTGGAGACATGGGTTCGATTCCCGGTTGGGCCATGAAAACCATGGCTGTATAAATAAAGGCTAGAGACAGACAAATGCAGAATATCTATTTAGGACTCTCTATAAAGCATGTAGACTTTGTAGAGAGCCAGCGTTAGGGGTTTGAGTCCCAGCTCGGCCATGGAAACCCACTGGTGACCTTGGGCGAGTCACACTCTCTCAGCCTCAGAGGACACCAGTGGCAAAAACCCCTCTGAAGAAACTGGCCGTGAAAACCCCATAAATAGGGGTTCGCCTTGTTGTGGTGGTAGTTAGCGGTGTGCCTTCAAGTTGTTTCTGACTTACGGAGACCCTAAGGTGAACCTATTATGGGGACCTATTAGTTTTCTTGGCAAGACTTGTTTGCCATTGCCATCCCCTTGAGGCTGAGAGAGTGTGGTTCACCCAGTGTGTTTACATGGTTGAGCTGGGATTCGAACCCTGGTCTTCAGTGTGCCTTCAAGTCTTTTTCAACTTAAGGTGAAGCTATCCTGGGGTTTTCTTGGCAAGATTAGTTTTGAGGGGGTTTGCCATTGCCTTCCCCTGAGGCTGAGAGAGTGTGACTTGCCCAAGGTCACCCAGTGGGTTTCCAAGGCTAAGCTGGGAATTAAAGCCTGGTCTCTAGAGTTATAGTCCAACCCTCAAACCACTTTGCCACCCTGGCTCTTTATTTTGTAGCAATGTATAACCGTGTAGCAAAGTGTAATAACAACCAAAATCCACTAACAGCAATAGTTTATTGGGGCAATCCAAATGCATAAAATGCCCATGTTTTATGCATTTGGGTTGGCCCATAAAGGTATCACTGCTTTGTGGATTTTGGGTGTTATTATACTTTGCTATATGGTAAAGAGCCAAGGTGGCATAGTGGTTTGAGCCTTGGACTAGGACTCTGGGAAACTCGGGTTCAAATCATGGGTCAAATCATGGAAACCCACTGGCTGACCTTGGGCAAGTCACACTCTCTCAGCCTCAAGAGAAGGCAATGGCAGACCTCTGAAGAAGAAGAACAATTTCTTCTGCAAGTGATGAAATGCCCACTCATTTCTTTTTCACATTTTTTCTCTGTCTTGTCTGGATCTTTGGGTTGTGTCAAGAAATACTTCTGGCTTCTGTGGGTGGGAAGGAAACACTCTGGAAATGCACCAGATGATGTTGAACTTGGAGAAAACCAAATAATATTCTCATTTTGTCAAATTCCCTCCCAGAATTGCTGGCTATTCAAACTGGAGGATTAGGCTGCAAGGATGATGTGATGAATGAATGAATGAATGAAATTTGGGCTGTAAATACAAAACTTGATTCCATGGCTCACTGGCTATAATACCTGTTCACCTTGGAAAAACAGGAAATAAATTAGTTTATTTAGCTGCAAAAGAACAAGAACCTTTGCAGTACTCTGTTACAGATCCTTTTTCCCCTTTAAACCCAGAGAGTAATTTAATGTAGCCTCAGTTTTTGGGGGGGTCAGATTTCTTGGCAAAAGCTGCAGATTAAGACATGTCAGAGAAACAAGGTGAGAATCAAATAAATCGGCGTTTTTCCATTTTATATAAGGGACATCATTATGCTATGTCATTATATTTAACGGGACTTGAGCATCCACAGATTTTTATTTTTATCATTTGGAGCAGAAATTCTTCTTCTTCTTCTTCAGAGGTTTGCCATTCCCTTCCCCTGAGGCTGAGAGAGTATGACTTGCCCAAGGTCACCCAGTGGGTTTGTGTGAAGGAATGGCAACACTAAAGCAGATTGGGTACCCTTCCCCTGTCTTGAGGCATTCATATTTTTATCCAGAAAGGCCAAGCATGCAAGAGGTTTGGCTTTTCAGGTTGCAAATGAGACAGTGCACAGCATGGGAGCTGCATCAACACTGTAGAAATAATCCAGTTTGACACCACTTTAATGTTGAATTGTGTTGATGGATGTGGCGCAGTGGTTAAATGCCTGTACTGCAGCCACTCACTCATAGACCCCCAAGGTTGTGAGTTCAATGCCAGCCAGGGGCTCAGGGTTGACTCAGGCTTGCATCCTTCTGAGG